CTTTGTTAGAAAGTCAGGGGTAAAGATATATATAATTTATTTGATTCCTTTATATTTGGAATTTTAAAATGCAGAGGAAATTATAAAATAATAAAGAAGAAAAAACAACTTACTATGAAATCAGGAAACGTGGAAATTAGATTATTTGTGAACTCCATAAGAACAAACATCAAATCAGTCTTATTTACCAGAATAATAACTTTTCTAGCTCTACAAGTTTTATTTGAAATGGCCATTGTCCTTCTTAACTTGCTTTATTGATTCCATTGCCCTGCTGTATAAAAATGTGGCATTTTTTGGATGTTCCTCAAAATTGGCAGGGTGGTCTGCCTCGTCAGAATTTCCTATCTAATAGTAGACTTTGTATGAACTGAGGATTCTTTTTGATAGTCCTTACTCTGGCAGTCTGATAATTTAGAGCTTGGTGGGTGGATTTCTGATGAATAAGAATAATGTTAAAAATATTTTCTTAATATAAAGAAACAAACAGTAGCAATCTCCTTATGGGTACACCTTTATATATTTTAATAGTAAGATGGACAAGTTAGGCCCTCCACTTCGAACTGGAAGACATGTGCAAAGGTTGTATGACAGTGATACAAAATCAGACAGTGCCATCAAAAGACATGAATTATTACCCATTTACAAGTAAGTATTTGTAACTCAGTTTGGTTAATCGTTTTCAGATATTTCCTTAAAGGCTTTATGTAATTGAATATTATAAACTTATACATTCCTATACTTAAAAAATCTTTCTTTAATCATTTGTAAGCCTAGAAGTGCTAAATAATCTTCTAGGATTTAAAACACTGATGTTAGATGAGCATTTCTGTTGTTCTACCTAAAGCTGGTTTTAGCATACATTTGTTTACATTAAATTTTAACTTTTAGAGGATTGAAATAGCCACCTTCAATAATTGTTATTTTTATGAAGCTTTATTTTAGGAGCAATATTTTTAAAAAGAAGAGAAATGGGGATATTATGCCCTACATAATGTGTAATATTCCTGTATTATTTTTTAGTTAGATAATGAATTATTATAAAAAGACAGAAAAAAGATTTTAGAAAACATTTGGTCCAGGAATTCTCATCCTTTTGGTTACATGGTTACAAATAACACATGAAACTGGGAAAGGATAAGACACTGCCAGGTACACTCCCCTCTCTATACTGGCCTAGAAAGCGGAGAAGAGTGGCAAGTGCTGATGGCAGTCATCTTGGAACTCTTCCACATAAGTCTTCAGGGTTTTCTAGTTTGGGCTCCAACTCCCAAGTCTAGCCCTCTCATTTTAAAATGATGAAATTAGAATCTGATAAATTACTTATTAAAGTTGAAATGTGTATTATTCATCAGAATTCACTTACTTAACTTTTAAACCGATGCCTGCTACAGCATTCTCTTACCATGTATGAAAAGTAAGAATAAATTTAACTAAATGTAAAATAAAGTAAAATAAAGATGGGAGAAGTCTTTGAGATATTAGCAGCAACCATGTGTTCTTTTTAAGTAGTTAGTGATCAATCCTAGAAGGAAGAATTTGTGCCCTGAGCCATTTTCTTAGTACTCCTGTTGCTCTCTATTTGCTCTGAAGTGTATCTCAAAGAAACAGTGACTGGTGGCAAGGTAGAGTAAGTATAATTCCAAAATTAAACTTTCTTTATTACTGTGTGACCTAGGTCAAGCAGATTACAGATACAGAATAAGGGTAGCACTTTTCAAACTCTGGCCAGGAGCAAAAGTGTGCTGACCATGTGGGACTGGGGCAGCATGTTTTAAGTACTGATCAAGACTGTTTTTCCCAATCTCCTAAGAATGGTTCTTGATACTCAGATTCCACCTCTTAGAAGATGTTACTAAAAGTACATGATTGATATTTCATAATGATGATTCTTGTTGATAATCTAATTTTTCTCTAATTTTAAAACAATTTTCTAATTATTTGAATAACTTCATTGATATGGTGAGGTTATATGTGTATATCTATAGGTGTGTTTGTATTATCTGTGCATCTCATGTACATAATATAAGAGGGTGATAGGATTTCTAGCAAGACTTTGTTTTAGAGCCAAAAAAAAAAAAAAAAAAAAAAAAAAAAAAAAAAAAAAAAGTGCCCTTCCTATTTCTCTTCTGACTCACTGGAGGAATTGCCATTGTTTGGCAATTAGTTTTTAGAGATTGAATTCCCAAAAAGATACTGTAGCAGTTCTGCAACATCCCTGGAGGGGCTGGCTATATAAGAGTATATATACCTCATCGCTAGACTGTCAGTCGCCATTTGAAGGGTCCAGGGTAACCCATTCATACACCAAGGTGATTCTTGTCAAAGTTTAGAAATTATTTATTTTTTTTTTATAGTTTACTTATTTTGAGAGAGAGTGAGAGCAGGGTAGGGGCAGAGAGAGAAGGAGAGAGAGAGAATCCCAAGCAGGCTCCACACTGGCAGCGCAGAGTTGATGCAGGGCTCCAACTCACGAACTGCGAGATCATGACCTGAGCTGAAACCGAGAGATAGACACTTAACTGACTGAACCACCCAGGCGTCCCAAAGTTTAGAAATAACTTAAAGTAACTACTGAAAGCAGCCTCTTTTTGAATGACAGCATTGCATATTGATATAAGAAATGTAACAACCCATCTAAATTCAAGTTCAAATACTGTGGCCATGTTATAGCTTTGCAGCTTACTTAATTTCTCTGAGTATGAGTTTATTCAACTTTAAGATGGGAATAATATCTTCTGAGATTTCTGTGAAGATTAAACAAAGTAAAGTATGTATAGTACCTGGCATCATATTTGGCATTTGAAAAACAGTAGATGTTGTTATTACCTATGTCTATTTTGGAGGTAGCTATTTCAAAGACTGTCTCCAACTTTGCTCGCTAAGGAGGAAGAATTTCAGCCATTGTTTAAGAACTTACCATCTAAAGGAATTTTTAAATGTATTCTGCTTGTTCATGTGACACAACATTGGATATCTCTGAAAAGAGTTGACTAAATCTCTAAAGAGGGAGAAGGAACTAGCTCTTTAACATCTGTTTGGCAACACATTTGAATGTGTCACCTTGGTGAAGTTACTTAACCACTCTTTGCCTTAGTTGCCTCATTTCTAAAGTAGAGTTATTAATACTGTTTACTTCATTGGATTATTATGAGGATTAAGTAAGCTTATATATGAAGGCAATTAGAAATATAACTATACCAAATGTGGTAAGTACCATTTTGTAAATGTTAACTAGTAGTAGTAGTAACAATAGCCATAGTAGTAATAAAATAGTATTATCATCATCGTCAACTATTCTGAATGTTTATATAAATTGCAGCTGGCATATCATAACTTCTATAAGAAAACTGATGATAGTTAATTTTAGAAATGGGGAACTTAGACTCACGTTGCCTGCTACTGCCACATTAGTCAGTAGCAATTTGGGTTTGAATCCGGGTTCATCTGAATCCCAAGTCTTGTACTTTTACCACTGTATTGTTATTCAACCGTCTAAGCTTTCTTTGATTCCTGAAATTTCATAAAGGGAATTCAGTGATGATCCAACCAGAACTCGTTTACTGATACCAGATAGTCCAGGCTGTGTAGTTGACTAGATTAAATCTTAAAAGGGGGAAATTATATTAACCCATTTATTTTAGTTGCTATTTCCAAGAGTAGGCTTTCATTTATTGAAAATTATTAAATATTTCTTGGCTAATATTTGGCTAATACTGGCTAATATTTCTTTTTTTTTTTTTTT